GTCCTACGCATGAAATAACCTACACCGATACTTTTTGTCTGTGCATTACATAATCTATCTGTGACACGTAAAAAGTGAAACTTAGTTAATGAATATTGGAGTGTACCTTTCGAGCATGGCTTTCCAATCTTCCTCAAAGGTCGTAATGTACTGAGAGTCATAAACGGCATCATGTATGGCTGTCATGATATCATCTTTATGTACAAGTCCACCCATCTTTTCAGGTAACTTCTTCATTATGTGCCAGAGACACCATCGGTGCCTTGTGTTTGGGAAAACGATTTGGATGGCATTTTGCATGGCCCTATCTTGATCAGTTATAATCCCCATTGGAGCATAACCATCCATACACTAAAGCCATGTTTTGAACAACCATACGAATGTTGATGTATCCTCACTAGAAATGATTCCACAACCTAATAACATCGATTGCCCATGATGGTTAACACCAACAAACGGAGCAAAAGGCATGTCATAGCGGTTGGTGAGATATGTCGTATCAAATGTAATCACGTCTCCAAAATCCTTGTATGCATGTCGACACCTATTGTCCGCCCAAAAAACATTACGCAAACGTGAATCTTCATCCAAGTCAATTGTGAAGAAAAAACCTGGACATTGAGCTTGCATTTTTGTAAAAAAACCTTGGATGGCCATTGCATCCCCATCTCCTAATCTAAGTTGTCGAACTTTTTCTATGTAGTTCCTGCAGTCCTTTTCAATGAAAGGAAGTTGATCATATCCTCCGGCTTCTACAACTGCGGATTTGAAAGTTTTACAAAGACGTATTCCTGCAACGTCATTTACATCGATTTGGTGCCTAATTTTCATTGTCAACTTCCTATTACAACGGAATAATCTAGACTTCGTGGGACTCATAGGATGATTATGGTTCAAAAAAACTTGTGATATTACCCATGACCCGGCATAATCTGTCTTTGCTCTTATTCTCGCTAAGCAACCATTTTGCATGGAAGGTTGAGGTTTCAAACAGTTTTTCGACCTACTACCTTTGTTGCCTGCACGTGAGCACTCTACTACAAACGCGATCAAGTCCCCTTCTTTATCCTTCTTTGAAGTGCGGTGTCTAACAGGAAAGCCAACACTTTTGGCATACTTTTTGTAGAAATCATAAACTGCATCTTTTGTAGGAAACTCCATGCCTATCTTTGGAATTTGTTCACATTCATCAGCAATGTTATCTCCATCTGTTCACATAATCAAATAATTATTTTACATTAACTCCTTCATAGATACAACAATCATCTTTGCAGGTATACATTATTGTAGTAGGGTATATATTAACAATATTCATAGATCATTTTTCATAGGTATACATTAACAACATTCATACATCAAATACATCTTTGTAGGTATACATTAACAACATTCACACATACATTAATTCATATTTGTAGGTATACATTAACAACATTCATTGATAAAATCAATTTTTATAGGTATACATTAACAACATTCATACATCAAATACATCTTTGTAGGTATACATTAACAACATTCACACATACATTAATTCATATTTGTAGGTATACATTAACAACATTCATTGATAAAATCAATTTTTATAGGTACACATTAACAACATTCATACATCAAATACATCTTTGTAGGTATACATTAACAACATTCACACATACATTAATTCATATTTGTAGGTATACATTAACCATATATACATTAGTTGTCGGTACACACCGACACTGTGTATGTAAGTTGTCTGTGTGTGTCAAATAAAATACCTCCGCCATCTGCGTTTGTCTTCCCCCTGCTACTTCCTTCCCCGTCAAAGTTTTCATCATCCAGACCCTCAAAGATCAGAACTTCGTTGCCACCTTGTGTCGCAGCTCTACCACCCGTCGCACCTAAGTCTTCATCCCCAACTTTGTCCGGAGCTCCATCTTCTTCGTTCACAAATCCACCATTTCTGTCCTCCATCGCAGCTCCGTCTTGTTCGTTCACAGGTCCACCATTTCCGACGCTTAGAGCTTCGTCGTTTCTTCCATTTCCGACCTCCGTCGTCCGTCGCAGGCAGGAATCGTCCAATGCTCCATCGTTTCCAGTCCCCTGTTCATCCACCATCACATATGCTAGAAAATCATCCATGATATTCGCAACAAAAAAATAAAAAAAACAGAGACAAGGGCGGGAAGAAAGAATGAACAAGGGTGAAGGATGGGAAGAGAAAGAAACGTGCGCAACTTTGGGGAGGGGAGGGGAGGGCTGTGCGAGTGAAAGGGGTAAAAGAAGCTGTAAATAATTAGACCTTATATATGGTGTACCCCAGGGTGTAACCCAGGGTGTACACCAAGACTTTTTGTAATTTATTTGCCTCCAAATATGCACAGCCCTGAGTGTGATTGAAATGGGACATCTTGAAGAGATAGCATATGCCATATCAGTGAACAACATAAATTGTTACAAAAAGCTATTTGTACACGTCCATTTGTAATAACTTTGTACACAAGTACAGATGATCATATACAAGTTTTTTGTCTATGAATAGCCTATTCACAAACAAATGTGTTTTGTCGGTAAACATGTTACTCACAAACACACAAATAAGGGTCTGTTTGCAACAGCTTCTACTTTTAAAAAAGTGTTTTTTTTAATGAAATGAGGAGAAGTGATTAAATAAAAGTTGATAGTGTTTGAGAAAAAAGTGATTTTGAAAAGTAAAAGTGGGTAGTGTTTGGTAAAATGAGTGTTTTTTGTGTAATAGAAAAAGTAAAAACACTTTTGACGCGGAAGCCAAAAAAAAATAAAAGTTGTAGTGTTTGGGAAAATAAGTGCTTTTTTAAAGCAAAAAGCTGAGAAGTGTTTTTTTTAAAAGTAGTTGCAAACCAACCCTAAGTTGTTCACCAGCACGTGTATGTAGCATGTGCAAATGAGCGTGTAAAAGAAGCAGTGATGAATTGTTGACCAAATTACATTATTTCATGACATATTTTGTATTAGCATCATCAATATTAATATATCTAAGGAATGTCTTAGACGATTTATTAAGATTATACGGTTCAATTTATCTACCCACACTTGTTATAGTATTGTATGCAATACTCCCTCCGTGTCTATTTAATTGACCCGTTTACTTTTTTACGTAGTTTAAGATAATTACTGTAAATTATATGAAAAGTAAGAGGTTTTTGTACTGTAACAGTACTGTATCAGTACTGTAGCTGCTTTTAAGTGAGTTTCTTTCCAAAAAGGGAAATGAGATGATTAATTTGATACATCCCAGAAAGGAAACTGAGACAACTAAATAGATATGGAAGGAGTATATAATATAATTATACAGAGGAACCACAAGCTTTGAATATACGAGCACACAAATGACAAATGCACACTATAATTATGACAAATGCTTAAATGAAATGAAAATTTAAAAAGATTTAGAAGTGATCAATAAAGTAATCAACAAATTATTTAATCATCATATTCGGTGTTGAGTGTTGACAAAAATGTAAAACGATCAATAGACATATTTTAGTATTGATATCGGTAGTTCCCATCATATATGTTCCAAAACTTAAAACCTCCAAGTCATTACACTCTTGAAATATTAATACTTCTGATGAGTAGATTTTCAATGAACATTAATGTTAACCAATTGTTGTCTTTCATATAGCATACATCGTGTCCTTTCTATTTGCTCGTTCTTAAATTTTTTGTCATACGATGTGTGTGAAGTTTACAAGTTTCTAATAAACGATAAATTAAGAGCAAGAACACAAGAATTTACGTGGTTCACACAATCGGAGTGATTGTGCTAGTCCACAGCGAACGAGGGAGAGATGATGTATTATTATCGGCGTCAGGGTTTACAGATACATTAGATGTGTTTAAATAGATTTAAGAAAGGCTAAACAATGATTAGAGCCGCATGCCCAAAATTAAGCTCGTAATTAAAAAAGGTCCCGTATACCCGATCGGGTGTAGCACTGTACCCGATCGGGTATGTATTCCAGAATGCTGCCTGAGTCAGGAAATTCCTCATATCCGATCGAGTAAACCCCTATACTCGATCGGGTGTAAAATCCAGAGTGTTGCCCAGGTAAACTATCACGCATACTCGATCGAGTAAAGCCCTGTACTCGATCGAGTATAGAAACCCGTGAGTTACTCGAACAAAACCAGCCTCATACCCGGTCGGGTAATCCAACATATCCGATCGGGTATGTACTCCTGCATTCAAAACAAGGCTCCATCTTCAACAATCTCCCACTTGGAGGCAGGGGCGGAGCTAGGACACTGGGCCGGACTGGGCCGGTACAAAGAATATTTTTGGAAAAAAATTTAAACGGAATTTTTTACACTAAAAATATAGAGATTTTTAAAATTTAGGTTGGGCCAGGGCCAGGGGTGGCCACCCCCTAGCTCCGCCCCTGCTTGGAGGCTTGTTCAACAGTCATCTGCCATCCAAGAGCATGTATCCTCTGCAAAACCCCTGATCTCTCTCGTTCACACCTTCTGAACAGTCGAGCCTTGACTACGACTCCAGTTCTGCAAACTGACCCCTACTTTTCAATCAGCAATCCAGTGCCCGCAGGTTTGAATGCCGCAATACCTCTACTCTTTTACTCTTGGATTCCTGTTATTGGATCCTCTGCGAAATGCCGAAATGTGTTGTTTGATTTCTAAGCAAATTCGGACTTTTATTTAGAACATTATCTAGAAGCATATCAAGAAACCTAAAAGCAGAAATTATGATGTGGAGACAATGTCTAAAAACATGTTCTAATTAGCATTTTATATAAGTAGTAACTTATGCAAAAGTAAGTTTTTTTGGGGTTAAGGATTAACAAACATTAAACAGAGAGGGTTATTACAATAAGGACACATAAATGATATCTGAGATATGTCATTTGTTAGTTTGATTTACAAAGATTTAGCTTATGCAGATTCTTTTTTTCATTCCTCCATCTATAATAGTTTTTTACGAAATCAGATTGCCCTTGAATTGAATCCTCCTTTTTTTCATACAGCGTGCCATCACTACGGCGCCACTTGTGCAAACCGAAATAAGCCAGCGGCCCCTAGTCCCCTACTATTCAATAAAGAATCTAGCGCCTGCAGGTTTGAATGCCATGAAACTAAGCTCTGATCTGCTCTTTTACTCTGGAGTTCCTTTTATTGGATCCTCAGTGAAATGTGTTGTTTGATCTAAGCAAATTCAGGTTTTTTATTTATATTTATCTCTATTGTCACTTATTGTCCTTTCATTTAGGAGAAGTAGCCCATATGTTAATATAGCACTTCGTTCATCCAAACTTTTCCGGTGTGGGACATTTAACACCCCTCCTCACGACCAGACACTTCGTCTGGATCATGCCATCATTCATTTTTTTTCATCGGTCCGTTTTTTTTTCATCCGGTCGTAATTGTCATTTTTTTATAATCGTGTCATCACGATTCATAAGGGACCCCACATCATGGATCGATTTGGCTCTGATACCATGTTAAGACCTGGGGTTCCATCCTAAAAGGTCAACCTGTTAGAAGGAGTAGGCCATGTGTTAATATAACACTTCGTTCATCCAAACTTTTTCGGTGTGGGACATTTAACATTGAAAAATGAAAACAGAGACTCGCAAAAAAACGGAAACAGAGAGGCGATGAAAGTACCGTGAAGGTGGTTTTCATGCTCATGTAGAGAGTTTCCACCTTCTTTCTTGGAAGTTGCCAAGAGGCATCTCACACCTTCTAGGAAGGAGCTATCCAACAAATGAACATGGGAAGAGATTTCTTGGAGATAGCTAGGAAACTCCATAGCAATGGGAATGGAAGCTTGGATGCAACTTCCTCATATCTCCCATATGCACCTATAAATAGGGAGTGTATTGTTGTTCATTTGTATCAGTTTAGAAAGTGAGAAAAGTGTGTGAAGAGTGAAATATACTTAGAGTAGAAGTGTATTGGTGAGAATTGGTTTTTTGTAATAGTTGAGTGTGAGAGTTTGCTCCTCCTGTTGTAATTCTGTTCTTGATATTGAATAGAAGAATTTTCCAATCCCAACAAGTGGTATCAGAGCGAGGTTGAGTTTTCATACACTGTTTTCTCATTTTCAGATAAATTTCTACAGGTTAGAAAATCGTGATTTTTCAAGTTGCTCGGAATCACGATCTGATCATACCGTTAGATTCGTCTCGTCGAGACGAGAAATCTGGTGTTTTTGGCGAATTTTTTGCCACTGGAAGAGGCCGTACGCGCCGCCCAAACGCGCCGGAAAACTGCCTGCGTCATCATTGCATCATCACACAGTCCAAAGGAAGAAGACGAGCCACATCAGCCGCCACGTCTGCGCCGCGTCAGCGCCACGTCAGCGCCGCGTCAGCGCCACGTCAGTCCATGTAAGCGCTATGTCAGCCGCCACGTCATCCGTGTAAGCCATCCTCTGGGTGCCGCGTCAGCGCCGCGTCAGTGCCACGTGGCGCCATGTCAGCGCCAGCGCAGTCCAGCTGTTGCCACGTCATCTGCCTGCTGGTCTGCCCACTGGTTTGCTGCTTGAACCGGACCGAACCGGTTCGAAGTTGTGGAGGCCGGTTCACCCATTTCCAGACCGGTTTTGGTCGAGGTCAGACCGGTTCCTACAATTTTCGGCCATTCTGGATCCAACGGTGAGCTCCGTTTGTCCAAATTCGGCTCCGAAAATAAGGTACGAGATATTTTGAGCGTTTTATTATGGATAAATCATCATCGGACACCATGATTGCGCTCACTTCCACAAATTACAATATGTGGAAGCCTCGGATGGAGGATTTGCTAAATTTGAGGGATTTAGCCGATCCTCTTGATAATAATGGCGTGAAACCGGATAAAAAGACGGATGAAAAATGGACAAAAATGAATAGAAAAATTGTCGCACAAATTCGACAGTGTGTTCCACCATGTTGCACAAGAACAAAGTGCTTACACACTATGGGAGAAGCTTGGTAGCATGTATCAAGCAAAAACCGCCCGAAATAAGACCTTTCTAATGAGGTGATTAGTAAACCACAAGTTACGAGGAGGTATTTCGTGTCAGAACACACCAGTCAATTCCAGGATCTTGTGAATCAGTTGAGCACCACAGCATGGGTTCTCAAAGATGAAGAGCAGGCGATACTACTCTTGAGCTCTCTACCTGACAGCTGGGAAACTCTTGTTGTCACTCTCAGCAATTCTGCTCCCAATGGCAAAGTGACTATGCAGATGGTCACAGATGCCCTTATGAACGAAGAAGCCCGAAGAAAAGAAGCCGGGACTGAACAATCATATGCCTTCGTGTCAGAAACCAGCAGACGAGGGGGAGGCAGAAATGGAGGAAGAAGTAGAGGTCGAGGTAGAGGCCAAGGTCAAAACAGAGGAAATTCTCAAGTTCGCGGCCGATCACAAGAACGAGGTATGCCCTGTGAAAACAATACTTGGTTTGAAGGATATTGCAACTATTGTGGTAACTATGGGCATAGAAAAAGAGATTGTAGAAAGTTTCTACGAGAGCAGCCACAGACGAGTCAAAATACTAGCCAAGAAGATGGTGAGACCATGGTTAGTTTGTCATCAGACGTGTGTCTTGTTACACATGGTGAACAAGAACGTTTACACGTAGGTACTCATGATGTTGAGTGGGTGATTGATACAGCCGCATCATTTCACGCTACTCCACACCAGAACTTATTCACATCTTATAAGTCAGGAGACTTTGGAGCTGTGAAGATGGGAAACACGAGTTTCTCGAAGATTGTTGGCATTGGTGATGTGCACATAACAACCAATGTCGGATGCGCACTTTTGTTGAAAGATGTTCGACATGTTCCGGATCTTAGATTGAATCTTATCTCCGGTACAGCTCTGGATCAGCAAGGATATCTTAACCGATTCAAAGAAGGTACGTGGAAGTTATCTAAAGGTTCCTTGGTTGTTGCAAGAGGCCATATTTGTGGTACTCTTTATAAAACTCATGCAAAGTTGTGTCATCCAAGTCTTAATGCTGTTGAAGAAGAGATATCACCAAACTTGTGGCACCGGAGGCTAGGCCACTTGAGCGTGAAGGGATTGACAACTCTTGCAAAGAAGGAAGTCATTTCTATGGGCAAAGGTGTTGCCCTAGATCCATGCGAACACTGTCTATTCGGGAAACAACACAGGGTTTCCTTCAGTTCTACCAGGAAGAACCATTCAGAGTTACTCAGTCTTGTACACTCTGATGTATGCGGACCCATTGAAGAGGAGTCACTTGGAGGAAGCAGATATTTCGTGACATTCATTGATGATGCATCACGAAAGGTATGGGCTTATTGTTTGAAGAGTAAGGATCAAGTGTTTGATCGCTTCAAATTATTTCATGCCATGGTAGAAAGAGAAACAGGGAAGAAGCTGAAGTGCCTGCGTTCAGACAATGGAGGAGAGTACACTTCTCGAGAGTTCTCAGCATATTGCGCCGCATATGGAATCAGACATGAGAAGACGGTACCACGAAGTCCGCAACACAATGGTGTAGCCGAAAGAATGAATCGGACCATTATGGAGAAAGTTCGTTGCATGCTGAATATGGCTAAACTACCTAAGCCATTCTGGGGTGAAGCTGTGCTGACAGCTTGTTATCTTATAAACAGGTCACCTTCTGTTCCTTTAAACTTTGAAGTGCCAGAGAAGAAATGGTCAAGAAGAGATGTTTCTTACTCTCACTTAAAAGTGTTCGGGTGCAAGGCATTTGCACATGTGTCCAAGGAGTTGAGACAGAAGCTGGATATCAAGTCAAACCCATGCATCTTCATCGGGTATGGTGATGAAGAATTCGGATACCGGTTGTGGGATCCCGAAGTGAAGAAAGTTGTACGAAGCAGAGATGTTGTATTTCATGAAAACGAGTTTCATGGGTGTGCTCCAATAATCCGCCAACAACATACTCCAGAAGACGAAGTGTCTGTATCATCAAACATTCCTCTCAGCGACGAGGAGATGCATGATACTACTGAACAAGAGAGTGATGGTTCAGTAGGTGATGATGATACTCACAGTGATGATATTCCTCAGCAGGGGGAGCCTTCATCTGAAGACGAAGCTGAAGGTACTCATGTTTGACGTTCTATGCGAGGCATAGTTCCACAGAGAAAGTATTCCACATCTGATTGGATACTTGTTGCTAGCAAGGGGGAGCCAGCGAGGATCGCAGGAATGAGAGAAACAAAGAAAAAGGTGGAGGGGGAGATTTGTAGAGAGTTTCCACCTTCTTTCTTGGAAGTTGCCAAGAGGCATCTCACACCTTCTAGGAAGGAGCTATCCAACAAATGAACATGGGAAGAGATTTCTTGGAGATAGCTAGGAAACTCCATAGCAATGGGAATGGAAGCTTGAATGCAACTTCCTCATGTCTCCCATATACACCTATAAATAGGGAGTGTATTGTTGTTCATTTGTATCAGTTTAGAAAGTGAGAAAAGTGTGTGAAGAGTGAAATATACTTAGAGTAGAAGTGTATTGTGAGGATTGGTTTTTTGTAATAGTTGAGTGTGAGAGTTTGCTCCTCCTATTGTAATTCTGTTCTTGATATTGAATAGAAGAATTTTCCAATCCCAACAGCTCAGCTCTCAAACATAAACTTAAAACCTTAGATGAATAAACTTCATATGAGGTTATACATATATGTTAGTTAAAGAATAAAGACTCAAGATAGTACATGTTTCTATAGGCATTGATCTGAAATTAGAGTTCTTCAAATTTCTAGGAAAGCACTATGAATACTTGAAGAGTAAATTAGTCATTACCGAAAACCAGACCCATATCAGAAGTCATGAACCCACAAATAATGAGCACACACGATTCATAGGTATCAAGAAAAATCACAAAATAAAAATGTAAACGGTAAACCCATACCTGACTTTTTTTATATCTTAAAAAATGGGATGTGATAGTGAAAAGATTGACATTGTAGAAAGTACTTATGTTATGTGTTCCTTTTTTATATTCTTTTTGTCAAAACAAATACATAAGGCTCAAGATATCGTGATAATAAATCATTAGACTCCTTGATATCTCTGAAAAAACTTTCAATGACACCCCTCGCCAAGATACAGAATGTTCATAGTATTCCATTAAGTGATATTATCATTTTTTTTAAAACACAAATTCAAATTTTATTCGTTCAGATATCAAAGTTACATGATTGGGGGGACTAAAAACCTTACCCATTAATTTAAGGGTGCCCTTAATTTAAACTGAAAGAACCGAAAGTTACAGATAAGGCCCAAGTGCCCAAATTAGGCCTATTAACGTAACCTAGCACCCAATAATACATGTCTGTTTGTACGAGCTGACCCATCACACCATATCATTAAGTGATATTATCATATTTATAGCAGCATAAGAGTCCATGTCCTTTTAATGTTCATGCATGATAATATGAAATTTCATTTGGCAGTTGAAAGTTGAAACCACAATGACATTCCACAACCTTTTGTGAACCAAAACCTGGTAATCATAAAAAGTTTATCCATGGTACTTTCAATGGAAGAAAGCAATTCAAAGTATTTGATTTATGGTAGATTCTATGGTACCCATAAGGTACCATACATTTGTCCACATGGACCAATGAGAATATTGCAGTTGAATTATTTAAATCTAAATTAAAAATGATATAATGATGTGGACCAATCAAGTGAATGGAAGGTACGGTACCCTTTTTTTAAATGGGTACCGGAGTAGTGATTTAAACTACAACTGAAGTGAAACTGCATTGATACTCAAGGCCCATTTACTGCTACATAAAAAGTGATTGATATCCTAGAGATAGAGACCCGGGCAAAGGTCACCAACGTCTTGCCGGGACAAAGGTTGACCGGGGGTGCGTGACCCTCCATTGATGCCGCCTGGTCCAAACCAACTCGCCGCCTAGAGTCTAGAAACACTTATCCGGCCGAAAAATGCTTTGCAAGATGTGTACACATATTTGTTACACATGTCTGTCCTTCGGAAAAAATGAGTCGGCTGTGACAGACACATTTTGTGTACACATTTTATGTACCCAACCAAACTCGTATCCGCCTCTTTAGCTATCGTGTAAATATATTAGCTATAGTGAGTATAAGGGACGGAAATAATATAAATAGATAAGGTTCACTTTGGACCTGTTGTGGACTTGTGGGCCTGTGGCTCTCAAGCACAATTTTTTCACAATGTTTTTAGGGAATCTTTCACAAGTGAACCAAAACGTGAAAATATATCACTTTTTTTCACTTTTCAAAGGTTTTTCAAAAATAGACTAAAGAAGGTTTACTTTTCAAAAAAAGACCACGATCACTATGGGTCTGCTTGTTACGTAGGATTTGTGCACGGTTTTTTTTTACGAAATTGCATACCGAAGATTCAAATTCCGTTCATGCACCAAACTACCAACTTCTACTCCATAATTACACTTACAAATTTTATAATTTTTGAAAACTAAGCAAATAAAAATGGAAAAATGATATAAAAATTCAAACAAAGAAACTGAAACAAATTTATACATTTCCGAGATCTTTTAAAACATTAAAAAGGTAAAAAGGTAATCAAAATACAATAAATGTATAGAATTATAAAATTCGAAACTAATAAATAGGTTAATCAAATTTTAAAATACGTAAAGCAAAAGAAAAACAACAAAAACTAAAAACTTATAAATTAAAAAAATTAAAAATATGTAAATTAAAATAAAAATGTTTTGAATCTATTAAAAAATATGTAAAACATGCTACAAATATTGAAATATAAAAAAAGTATTAATATTTAAATATGCAAAAAATGACACTAAATTTTGTATAAGAAAAATAAAAATAGAAATTATTAAAAATTTAAATAAAAAAATTAAGTTTAACTTAAAATCTAGTAAAATGAAAAATGGAAAAAAATATTTTAAAAATGAAAATATAAAAAACAAAAAATGGGAAAAAATGAAAAATATACTATCGTTTGAATTTGTAATTTGAAATTCTAAAAGTAGTTACACAATTATAATTATTATTTGTTGAATATCATTTTGTGTTTCTTTTTGTTGATAACTTTAATTTTTTTGTTTTTTATTGTTTCTTCATGTTTTTGTTATTGTTGTTGATATTCAGAAATTTAAACTTATAATTTTACATATTTGTGTATGTATGTATATATATATATATATATATATATATATATATATATATATATATATATATATGCAGTTTCCCCCAATAAAGCTGCTAAGATAAATATAAACCTAAATAAATTAATTAATTAATAACAAAGAAATTAAGTAACATGATGCAACAAAAAACAACAAGATGCAACAAAGAGGAAACAAGATGCAACAAATAGCAACAAGATGCAACATGTGTATAATAACAAAGATCAACAAAAAGAAACATGTGCATAATAACAAAAAGCAACAAGATGCAACGCATAAAGTAACATGTCCACAATAACAAAAAACAACAGAATAACAGGATATAAAAGTAGTACAACAAATATGTAGTTCAATATAATTAATCTACTACAACTATTTATTATATCATTTGACTTTATTCTTCTACTTCCAGTCATGCTGCATCTTTGCACACAATTCATGAGGTTTGCTTCTCTTTACTTCATTTCCTTATCTATCTTCCCATGTTCATGATCTTCATATACATATTTTCATCTATCATGCGCCTGTAAAGATAATGTGATCATTATGACATAAATTCATAATCACTTATTACTATAAACTAATACACATATACACCAATTTTTTAAACGAAGCATTATTTTAACATGCAACAAACAATCACTACAAAACACAGTTGTGAAGCCTAAAGTTTCTACTGATGGTAGGGATCTGATAGTAATGCGGGTACGGCAGGTAAAGGATACCACTACTTTCATTTGTTGACATAAAAGCACAAATTAATGGAAATTAAAGTTCAGTAGTCATTGCCCGTTGTGACAACTTGATGACCAAAGATGTCATACAGTTGCACTACAAGTTGATGACCAACAGAAGAAAGGAAGAAGAAGAAAGCTTTCATCCTAGTCAACAGAAAATATTTGGAAATTACGGCAACAATACCAGCGATTTGGTTCGTAGAATACTCTATCTACACATAAGCCAATGAAAATGTCATATTACTCATACTTGTGACTAATATTGATCACAAACATGGTCACTTACCGACATCAAATAATAGTGTACATCAGCGTCCTTGGTTAGGACTACCTTAGTATTAGTACCTAGGACTTTCTTGTCAACCTTGTCCAATCCTAGGCCAATCTCACCCTTAATCACAGTTCCTCCAAGGCAGCAAGCTTTAATGCACCCCTAACTCCCTAAGCTTATTTACCACCAAAGTTGCTAGAGCCTCTTCCTCAATATCTTCAGCAAGTATCAAAATTAGATAACTATTTCTGAGTTTTGAAAATGTCTTCAACTAATCTAATTAAAATTTGCTAAAATCACACACAAAATCCACATTGACACTAATGTATAGGCAGATTGACTAAAGCAAGAAAGACAGTGCACCAAGCCAGCAAAAAAAAGAGTAAAAAAAATAAAATACCAGACAATCAGCTAGGAATTTAGAATACACTCAAAGGTTCAATTAAAGCTGAAATTTGCTAAGTAACTAGTAACCTCACCATGACCACCATCCGTTAAACTGATATGCATCGTCATTTGCAATAATATTCTCATTGTTGCATCACTCTCGATTCTCTCTAAAATAACAACTCTCACATCACATGGTGTATGCATCACAACAAGCCTTTTTCCAAGCGATGAGCCCCCTTCGCAAACGTAGAGAAGAAAAATCCATCAAGGACAAAGGGGCTAACACAAACCCTATTGGTTTCTATCTCTAAATTCTCGTTAATCAAAAACCAGAAATTAATCTTAACTATATTAATTATAACAAAAATTAAATTGAAACTAAAATGTTGAAAATTCTCAAACACGTACCTGCGAATAAAAAACCAGCAGGTAGTCAGGCTGCGATTTAGCGATCAACAGACTAGCCGAGCAAGCAGAGGCAAGGGCAGAGCGTGGAGTCGCAGAGGGCGGAGCGCGGAGTCGTAGGGAGAGGAGCGCGGAGTGGCAAAAGGCGGAGAGTGGAGTCACAGAGGGCGGATGCGCAACCGACGGTGGGCGGGATCGGAGGTGAACAACCACGCATATCTCAATGCTTAGGTGACGATGGACGAACAAGGAAAGGGGTGCTGGAAATTGACGAACTCTGGATTTGGTTTTGATTTAAGATTTAGGCTATTTTTGAAATACAAAATCAAAAGTGAAAAAGTGAAAGTTAAAAATGAAAAATAATTTACAGGGAGACATAAATGAAATGTAATTAGAAAAGATAGTTCTCACGGGAAATTTCCACATGTTTTTAGTCATTAGGTAAAATAGCCATTTAAAAAAACTCATTATAGTCATAAGACTCATAAGATGGTCAAATGTTTCTATGCTTTCGTTTGGACTGTTTTCAATCTCAGATCAGATCAGATCAGACTAGATCAGACTCACTCAGACCAGATCAAACTAGACTTCCGCAGTTACAAATTAAATACACAGAGATCAAACGTTTACTAGACCAGACTGGCAAAATTCAATCCAAAACAAAACATCATTACACCTCCTTTTTAATTATAAACCTATGACACACAGGATAAGTAGAGCTATGGTTATTTAGTTTCGACGTAATGGACTAACTGAAAATATCCACTTAACCATTTAGGCATAAAGTCATGTTCATTTATGACTTAAAAAAATAGTCATTCACTAAAAATTTGACTTAATCATTAAGTTTGAAAACAATAGTCCTAGGGGTGAACATGGGACGGTACGGGACGGTTATTTCAAAAAATATGTCTCGTCCTAAAGTACGATTCTTTTAAAAATCAAGAACCGGTACCGTCCCGCATATATATAGAACTTGTCCTGTTCCGTACCAATTTCCAGTACAGTTCGGTACGGTTCGGTACGGTTCTCCAGTGTTATTTGGTTCCTAAATAAGTGACCCCCGTGAAATATAATTAACCCTATTTACGTAGCATTGTTTATACGTATCATTTAGTATTGTTTTTTGTTTTAAAGCTAACTTTTAGTGCTGTCAACTGTCAAGCCTTAATAATTGGATTACGTCCAAAGAATATGCAAGATTGCATATATTTGTAATATATGGACATATAGTCACTAACATTTATACTCGGTAATATATTATAGATAATATATTATTATATTATAACACTAGTTTTTGGGACATACATTCACTAACATTTATACTCGGTAATATATTATATATAATATATTATTATATTATAACACTAGTTTTTGGGACAATTCGGGACGGTATGAGACGGTTCGGTACAATACGGTTCCGGGACGGTTCCGGTATGGTTCTCACTAAGAACCGGTGCCGTACTATGTTATTAAAAAAGCTCGGTGTGGGTGGTGGGAGAAGGGTCTCGGTTTGGCTTTGTTTCTCTTCCGGCTGGTTTTCGTACCCTCTTTCCAACCACCGGAAAGCCTAGCGGATGCCGGAGCTAGGTGGGGCGGTTAGGGAGGGGGGGGGGGTACTGAGTGACGGACAGACGGCCACGTTGCCGGGCTGTCAGGTTGACTTTCAAAATTTTGAAATTATGCGTTGTGCGGCGCGGAGTGTAGCGAGGCTACTGTTGGGACGATACTGGGTGCAAACCCTAGCTCGATGGGATGCAGATGGGCTTCTGGGCTGGACTTCGGCTGGTGCTGGGCTGCTGGAGTTCACTTTTCTGGGCCTTTTGCCTTGTCAGCTTTGATACTATTTTGGGTTTTGATGCATGCTGGGATCTTGGGCCTGGAATTTTAATTGTGATACTGCGTTGCAGTTTGGATTGGGCCGTTGCAGGCTGGATTTGATTTCTTTTTGTGATATGTGCCGGGGGCCTGTCCTGTGCCTTTTTGGAATTCAATGGTTGGATACTATTTTGTTAGTTCTCGTACTAGCTTAGATAGTTTTGATACATTGTAAAATGTTATTTTTGGGTGTTCTTAATATACTTACCTTTCATCCAAAAAAAAAAAAGCTCGGTATGGTACGGTACGGTATTACATTTTTTCGGTTCTTTCGGTTCTGGAACGGTACGGGACGGTTCTTCGGTACGGAACGGGAATTCCCAGATCCGTGCTCAGTCCTAAATAGTGGGTGGGGGGTACGCACGCCGTGTGTAGACCCGGGTTACGCGAAATTGAATCCCAAATCGACCCAAATTCATATTTTTCATCCTTTTTCTATAAATAAGGCCCCCCTAATCATATTTTGAGGTTACGAACATTACGGAGAGGCCTAGGGACGAATTTAACACCGTTTTTACGCTATTTTCTTCCAAGACCCTGTGATTATTTGTAAGTTCATCTTTTTAATTAATGACAATTATTTCTATTCATCTCAATTCTGTTGATTCTTCGATTATGAATTGTGAGTAGTTTAATTAGGGATTTGGGGTTGATGAAGGGGTTAATCATGATTGATGGCTAGATTCTTGTTGGTTTAATTGCATGAATGCCATTTAATTTGTGTTTGAATAAGTTAACTGATATCTTTTGTAACCTGGAACCGCGGCTAGAATTACAATTGCTTGTAGAATAAATTAAGAGAGATCTAGTTTATTCTTGGACACATTCACACCCACTTAATCGTTCGCTAAGAGATTAGTAACGATTAAGGGGCCGTAAGCTCGCTCGTCTTGGCAATAATTTAGGATCTTGTCGCATGAGAGATCAGCCTGGTCCCCTAAATTATTGTACTCTACGCCGCGAGAGCGGTAAGAACTTAGTAATGATTATTAGCTAGGCTCAATTAAATTAAATTCATGTAATTAGACCTGATCTGCCAGAAATCTGGTTACCCCGGAATCAATCCCTGTTTCCTTCGTCATTAATTAAGAAGAAACCAATCTTTTATTTTAATTGCTCATTCGCATTAGTTTAATTTTTATTCAACCAACCAATCTCGCACGACGCATTTTTATTTATTTATTTTTAATCGCTGAATTTAATTAATTCTTGATTCCCTTTTGTCCGTCCCTGTGGAGACGATACTCGTACTTAGACCACTATATTACGATCTATTTTAAGTGCGAGAAAACTCACATCAGCATTGTATGGATGGGTTAAGGCTATAAAATGAGCAAATTTTGTTAACCGATCCACTACAACCAAAACAATATCTTTTCCTTGTGCCTTGGGTAAACCGCCAATAAAATCCATACTGATTTCAGTCCAAATCTGCTCGGGAATAGGCAAAGGATGCAATAACCCAGCTGATTTTAACGCCTGATACTTGTTTCTTTGGCATACCTCACAACTCTGGACATAATTCTGAATATCTCTTCTCATTCCAACCCAATAAAACAAGGTAGATATCCTTTTCATAGTCCTGAAAGTCCCTGAATGTCCTCTGGTTGCTGAATATTCTTGTATGATTGTTAGGAGCTAGGCTGGACTTATTAATAAGAATAGATTCAAAGGCCGGGTCTATTCTAGGAGGAAACCGCATAGTTAGTTATTAGAGTAATTGGTTGTAACTAATAACTACTGCAGTATCGATTTTGTCTTCCTCATCAATTCGATTCAACCGAAAGTATCGGTTCATCCGCACAAGCCACCCGAACACATCTTTGCCATTAAACAAAGGAAGATCGATTTTCCTTCCAACCGGATGATGTTTCCTGCGATTCCGATGTGAGTCGTTATCGCTGTTGGCGTCAGAATGTTCAGAGTGAGAATCCGACTCACTCGAACTGTCGCCCTTCTTCTTATGTCTGTAATGCGAACTGTGGTGAGAAGATGTCGATCGATGCGATCTACTCCGCAATCTCTCCATTTTCCGATTCTTCAACTCATCGATACCAGCTTGCATCCTCATTAATAGTTCTTCATACCTCGCATTTGATTCATCGATCTTTTTCTCGATCGCAGACACTCATTCATCCATTTTTCTTCTCGTGCCTACCATTCACAGGACCGAAAAGATCTGATACCAATGTTAGGATTCTCCCAATTCAACTAACACAGTTCAGAAAAAATCACATACAAGGCAATAGAAATCAACAATCAAGAGTAGTTTATTCAATCATCAGAATCAGTACAACCGAGCTCCCAAGAAAAGAGAAACAAGCTTCTCTAATCTCCCAGTCCCAAGACTCAAGGTCTAATAGCCTGCCCATCTTGACTGGACTTATTCTATTTATTAGCTATTTCCCCTTCCCCAAGCTACTACAGTAGTTATTAGTTACAACCAATTACTCTAATAACTAACTATGCGGTTTCCTCCTAGAATAGACCCGGCCTTTGAATCTATTCTGATTAATAAGTCCAGCCTGGCTCCTAACATACTCGAACTTGAATGGTTGCTGGATTTACGCATGATTTAGTCTCTCAACGTGATGGGTGTGTCATTGAGAGTTGAGGATTAGTCAATGAGAGTCATATTCACAATGATGCTCATCGAGTGTCGAAATGTGGAAGTCCCAGATATCATATCACGGGATGGTGTATTGAAAAATTAAGTGTGAAATAAATCTAGTAATCCAACACGTAAACTAGCGAAATCGATATATGCTTGATTAACGAAAAACAACTAAGTAGCAATGAGGATAGATAAATAAACGATTAAATTAAAAGGGAAGCGAAGGCATTCAAAGACCAACCTATGATTCAGAATAAGGGACAAAATAGGGATACTTGAAAGCATATAATGCAACAAATTAAAGGGATATGCATAAGTTTCCTTGCCACTCTCATGGTTAAAGGAGTGCTAAGGGTTCATATTGGTCATTCTCATGATCCAACAGTAATCCAAAATCATGCAAAAAAGAGGAATCAATATTTTCCCCCTACCTTCTCACATTCTCATGCAGAGCGATAGTGTGTACACCAAGCCCAACACGAGACCGAAAGAGTTTGTGAGTGGAGAGAGAGGAAGCTCGTCTCCGATTTTTCCTGTCTTGTCCTTGTGTGTCACCTTTTTTGATCTCTTCTCTTCCATACTCCTTGACCCCATTGAAAGTGTTGAGAAGGTTATCTAGATAGCTAGGCGCACCTTCGTGGTGCCACTATTCGATGGTGAGTTTCTTGGTGGTTGAGCCCTTTACGAACATGGAAGGAAATCCAAGCCGTAAAAGTACAGTCATTTCATACTTCGATCAACAAATCTATTTCACCACTCTAAAAAATAGCTATTTCACCATTTTTAATTTAAAGCAAGAAACACAAATTACGAGAGATACACATTTTCCAATCTTTTTCTCCATCGTTCAACACTTTATATTAATACCAAAGTAACATCAATGCTCACTTATATCCCCATTTAAAATCACACAACCATTAATAAATCTCAAAGTTATTTAGCTAGACATTTAGTGGGAACATAAATATCAAATTCATGACTGGAATACTACAGTAACATATAATGTCTGATTAAATTACAACTAAACATATATCAGCACACATCTGAGCATATAAAGAAACAGGAATTTTATTTCACATGGCAATGTGATAACCATATTGTCTGGAATGATTAGGCGGTGGGAGGTTTAACATCCATGGCGGGAGGTTTAACCTCCATGGCGGGAGGTTTAACCGCAATGGAGGGGAAATCAAGTAGAACAGCCTTTTCAATTGCAGTCGAGAAAGAAGCCGAAAACTCGAGGTGCTTGGGATGGCTAGCAAAGGCAGTGTGATCATCTTTGCTGTTGAATGTCATCAAGAAAGCGTGTGTCAAGCCTTGTCTTAGCATTTCATGGCTCTCTGTGTCTTTTCCCCTATTTAAAAATAAACAAATAAATTCAATAGAATAAATAATGGCAACAATGTGGCATTTTAATGCACTTTGTAAACATGAACAGGTTCTTTAAAGCTTGTGTTATAAATCTGCAAGGTTGGTCAATTCCAACACATTACCTGCTAACCCAGAGTCATACTCACCTTTAAATAGTCTATAAAGGATAGTCTAATTTCTAAAAATCTGAAAGACTTCGAATAACAATGGTATGTTTTTGTTGAAGACACTGCCTCAAACAAGCAAAATATAGACATTATTAATAGCTCATTTGGTAGCACGAAAATCGGCTGATTTGGCTGATTCTGCTGAAATTTATTAAGCTCAGGTTGAAGTGGGTGCATTGGTTGATTCTGAAGATTTAACAAAAAAAATTGAAATATATTTTATTAATAAAATAACAAAAAATATTTGTAAAAATAGCTCAAATGGTCATCTACCATAACTTCAGCCAATACAGCCAGAACAGTAACTTCAACCTTATTTTTTCTGCTTATTACACAATTCTGCGCATGAAAGTCAAAGTTACGAGTTTGGTAAAAAAGTTGGCTGATAAGCATGTTAAGCCGAAAAAGAGTGTTGCCAAACGGCCTCTAAGTCTACCATCATAATTTTGATATAGGTCCCTATGAAAAAGTTAAAACAAAATGACAATATATATGCCAGCAACTAAGAGGCCGTTTGGTAACACGAAAATCGGCTGATTCGGCCAATTCTGATAAAATTTATGAAGTTCTGGTTGAAGTGACTGCATTGGCTGATTCTGCTGATTTTAGGGGAAGAAATATTTTTAAAAATATTTTATTAATAAAATAAAGAAAAATTTATATGTAAAAATAGCTAAAATAGTCATCTATTGTAACTTCAGCCAAAACAGCCTGAAAAGTAACTACAACCTTACTTTTTTTTATTATTACACAATTCAGCGCACGAAAACAAAAGTTATGTGTTTGGTAGAAAAGCTGACCAATAAGCCTAATAAATTGAAAAAAAGTGTTGCCAAATGGTAAAGTAGTCTAACCATATACATATTTCGTATACATAAATACAAGATTTTTGATTTTACAAACACTTTTGTACACACTTTTTGACAAACGGCCTCTAAGTCAACCAGGCTTGAGATACACATTTTTGTACACACACTTACACACTCGTATTTGTGAAGTGTTTGGTTTTGTTTGTATACAGACAACTTATTTCACAGACACTTCAAATGGATTGTGTCTGTATACAAACAACAAAAAACACTTCACAGACACGAGTGTAAGTGTGTACAAAAAATGTGTAACAAGAGTTTTTTCCATATTTTTCAGCTTATTATGCTTATAAGCCAAGATTTTCATTAATCATGTTACTTTTAATTTAGTGCGTAAAATTTTGTAACAATGTGAAAAAATAACGTTGAAGTTACTTTTTGGGGCTAAAGTTAATGCAAGAACCATATTAGCTAATTTTTCATAATTGTTTCTTTATTTTATTAATAAAATGTTTTTAACTACTCCCTCCGTCCCATTTTGGTTGTCCTACTTTCCTTTTTGGGTTGTCCCAAAATGAATGTCTTGTTTCCTTTTTTGGATGAAATATGTGGTTCTTATCAATTCACTTTATTATACTCAAATCTCAACCACAACTTTTACTTTTCAACCACTTTATTAATAATCGTGCCAAATTGAAAGTGGACAACCATTATGGGACAGAGTAGTATAATTTTAGCAAAATCAGTCAATCCGGCTTTTCCTCCTATTTTGGTATTACCAAATGGACTCTACAACAACATCTTTCAAACTTAGTTCTGGTTCCCAATAACGTAACATTAGCATTCAAGATGGAGAGACGAGACGCAGTGAATATGCATCATAGATAGTATATTGCATTAATTACCAGACAAAGGACTTGACAATGTCCACTTCGGAAACAAGCTTTTCCATTCCTTTAAGAATGTCTTCCACGGCAGCATCTTCCTTGAACTTAACAAGAACCAAATGCTTGAATTCATCAGCCATCTGCATTCTGCAACAACTGTAAAACAATACTTCGTATGAAATAAAAAAGGCTGGCCTGGTTCACCCTTTATATATATGTGCAGGCTTTTGCAGGTTGTGTTAATTAATGTATATCAAAAAAGATCTTTGTACCCATTCTTATACCCACTTTTGTACACACCTATGTTTGTGAAGTGTTTTTTTTGTTTGTGAATCCCGGCTCACAGACAATATTTTGCACAGACAAAATATTGTCTGTGAACCCGGGTTCACAGATAAAAAAAACCTTCACAAACATGGTGAGTATAAGCTAAGGTGAGTATAAAAGTGGGTACATCAAACATTGTTATAATGTATATAGACTTCCACATACATGCATTACCCTTATATAGGGGTGGGCAAAAATACCGAAATATCGGTATACCGCACTTACCGTACCGAAAAATACCGGAAATACCGAAATATTGGTATACCGTCATTTTCGGTACGGTATCATACCGTACCGATCTATTTCGGTACGGTAACGGTAAATAATTTTAAATACCGCGGTATACCGGTATAATACCGTACCGACTCCCTACTCAACAATTACTTTTAATTCTAATATATTGTAGAAATCCATTACAATTTTAAAGTCCAAAATTAATACTTAAGTTGGTTACAAATACAAAAATAGAAAAATAAAAGTCCAATTTCTCAAACCCACTATAACCTTATACGCTTCTACTACGCTAACCATAATGACTAATGAGTAATGTACAAATGTCAAGAAACAAGTTCATCTTATTCCAAGAGCTTGCAAGTCGTGATGGTTGAGCCGCTGAGTAGCTGACGAGTGAAGAGAGATACACTTATGTGACAAGTGTATTTACATTGGGATTCCGCGAGTCGAGACACACAACTTTGTCCGAAAGTCTTGTTCAATTTTTAAAAAATTATAAAAATGACTGAATACACGATATCATATTAGGAATAAATGATTTTATATCCATGTTGTTTGAATAGTTTTGTTTATTTTTGTTAGAGATCACTATTGATTTAATTATATCTATATTGTTCAAGTTATTTTAGGAGAATGTGTTACTCTTTAATATGTGGCATGTTGAAACTGCTTAAATATACTAATAATAGTTATTCTTCAATATTGAATTGACATCAATAGATTATTAATTGTATTTCATAACATTTTAATAATAGATTTAATATGTCGCTAGTAATAACGATTTAGTATATTTCATTAGTCTATGACAATTTTTTGTATTGGGAGACATGCACGGTAATTTATCGATACCGTACCGTTACCGAACCGAAACTTCGGTATACCGAAATGCGGTATACCGAAACTTCGGTAAGGTAAAGGTATGCAAATTTTGTATACCGAAAGTTTTGGTATGGCAAAGTATAAGAAAAAATATAAGGTATACCGAACCACCCCTACCCTTATATATACGGAGTATATATTTGTACCAACCATTCTATCATTCTATGTATGCTTGGGATGCAAAAGTATTTGAAAAGAAAAGGTTCGATTGAATGGGGACATGATAGTCCACTATTCTTACACTTGCTCTGTCAGGACACCATTGTCGTCATCACCTTTTGCCTTTTCCCATGATATATTAAAGAAAAGGAAAAACAATGAACTGGAAAATAATCCTCCACGTGTGACATGATTTGCTTGGGAAAATTAATTTAAATATCCCAAATTTTGAAGCGGCGTAAGTTTAAGTACCTGCAATATATAAATCTCAAACATTATATAAAAGTTTATTTTATTATCATAGTCATATGTGTTTTTACAGATATAAATATATGGTGTTAAGTACCATATGTAAGAGAACACTTCTTGTCAGGCTAGTCTGATTGGGAGAGCCGTCCGAAGCCCCTTTTGGGCATCTTCTCAGTGGAATTTTTTGATGAACTTTTTTGAGCTTGTTCCTCATCAAGTATAGTTTTTCCATACCAAATTTCACCTCAAAATTCGATCAGGATGACTTTCAAATCATTTTTTGAAGTTAACTTCATTTTTATATGTATATTTTGACGCAGTCATCTTCAAAAAATGATTTGAATGTTTTCTCGATCGAATGTTGAGCTGAAATTTGGTATGGACAAACTAGACTTGATGAGAAACATGCTCAAAAATTTCATCAAAAAATTACACTGGGAATGTGCCAAAACGGGCTCGTCCGGACAGCTTTCCCGGTCAGGTCGACCTGACAAGAAGAGTTCTCAGCTCCCATATGTAATATTACTCTTTTCGTCCCAATTTGATTGTCATGTTGTGGTTTGCGATAATTAAACTAATCCCTATCAACACTCATATTATTTGTACTTTATAGTAAATAAAATTTACATATTCTAAAACTACGTTAAAAAAATCCACAAAGTCGCAAAACAAACATATTATAAAAAATGGATAATATATATATATATATATATATATATATATATATATATATATATATATTAAAAGTGGTTTATGTTAACCAAGTGAACAGAAAAGGGTTTTTTACATGAATATTACTAAAATAAAACTTATTTTCATAAATATGACTATTCATTACTACAATGTAGTGTTGTGGTAACTTAAATTCAAAACTTGAACATGAATTACTATGATTTCATTACTACTCTAGTAATGAGTCATATTTTTGTAAACCACCTTTATTTTGGTCATATTTATGTAATTATTTCAACAGAAAACATGACCATCAAATTATATTGAGATGAAGATGGTATGTACTATGTATTTCATAAATGAAATTTTAGAATTTTAACCATGTTGGCCTGCACGTCCATAGTTCAAAGCCCTAGTACAACATGTTTTAAACTTTTTCAATGGTAGAGCATAGTGTGTAAAAATTTCAGTCTTTTTTCCCCTAAAATCTCTTTGTCCTACAATAGAAGAATAAAAGGATTCTTCCTTCAAACATATATATTTAAACTTGGTCGCTTAAGTAGTTTAATCACTACAAGCATAACACCAATCTCAAACGATGAATGAGCTAGATACTCACATTATGAACGCTCATGGGCTTTTGAATATTAGTCTTAAAAATTAGGGAAAACTATCAAATAGGTCCTCGAACTTTCATAAAAAAGTCAATTAAGTCCTTCTATAGGAAACTTTGTCCGGTCGTCGCGATTTGGGGAGGTTACCGGTGGAATTTTTTGATGAAATTTTTTGAGCATCTTATTCATCAAGCCTAGTTTACTCATACCAAATTTCAGCTAAAAATTTAATCGGGGGCACATTCAAATTAATTCGAGAACGCAAAAATGCGCAGTTATCTTCAAGAATTAATTTGAATGTGTTTCCGATTGAATTTTTAGCTGAAATTTGGTATGAGTAAACTAGACTTGGTGAATAAGATGCTCAAAAAATTTCATCAAAACATTCTACCGGGAACTGCCCCAAATCGCGACGGCCGGACAGAACCTCCTATAAAAGGACTTAATAGTGTTAAATAAGACATAAAAGGCTGATATATTCTTTCCTTGTATATTACTTTAGTCATTATGTAGTTGATCTACTTACCATTTATTTCTGTACACATTGTACTATTTATATTGTACCAATCATTCTCATTACATATAGTGAAAAAAAAGTAATTAAAATTTGAGGACCTATAGAAGGACTTAATTGACTTTTTTATGAAAGTTCGAGGACCTATAGATACTTGGCGCAGCACTGACCAGAAGATTTTGGGGGTTCTATTTTCTACTCTCACAGAGGAAGCCATGGTTGAGGTTGTTGGATGCACAACCTCTCGTGCTGCTTGGGTGGCGTTAGAGAACGCCTTCTCTCCGTCGTCCACCTCACGGGCCAATCAACTCCGCGATGAACTCATGGCTCTCCGTCGCGGGTCCATGACTGTGGCCGATTACGGCCGCCAATTCCAGGATCTTTGCCACAAATTGGCCGCAATTGGGCATGCTGTTGACGAATCAGACAAGAGTCATTGGTTTCTAAGAGGGTTAGGCCCTCAATATGTTAACTTCGCTGATAATCGTATGTCTCGTGACCCTGTTCCGCCCCTTCTCGATCTTATTCATCAAGCACAACAACATGACCTTTTCGTCCGCACCATGGAGGGCACTCCTCCAGCCCAGGCTGCCTTTTATGCCGACGACCGCACTACATCTCGTTCTGTACAGAACTCTCGCTCCCGTGGTAGCCCCTCTGCAGGCCGTAGCGGTTCTGGCAGTGTCAGGGGAAATTCAGGCTCTTCCTCAGCTCCTGGTTCTTCTTCCGGCTTCAATCCACAGACCACCGGTTCAAGCGGGCGTTCTCATCCTCCAGGCCGCAGTGCTGATCCAAATTCTCGTCGGCCCTATATTCCCAGATGTCAAATTTGCCGGGGAGAACATTATGCGGACAAATGCCCTCAGTTTCTTCAGGCCCGTGGCAGCTCGTCTCAACCTGTTGCTCAACTCGCTGAATCCTTCCAAGCTGCCTGCAACTTGAGTGAACCAGTCTCAGACTGGTATGTTGACACAGGGGCCTCAGCACATATCACTTCCCAAACCTCCAATTTGGATCAGTGTGAACCTTATTCTGGTAATGATAAAGTTATTGTCGGTAATGGCTCGGCTTTGCATATATCTCACATTGGCTCTCACAATATGCAAAACAATATCAAAATATTAGATGTTCTGGTGGTTCCTCAAATTACAAAAAATCTTTTATCCATCAGTAAGCTAACCGCCGATCAACCTGTTGATGTTATTTTCTCTGACAAATTTTTTACTGTCCAACATCGGGGGACAAAGGAGGTTCTAGCTCAAGGCAGGTGTGAACAAGGTCTCTATGTGCTGGAACGGAGCTGTCCGGCATTACTTGCTAGTTTAAATTCTTCTTTAATAAAAGCCTCATTTGATTTGTGGCACTTACGTTTGGGGCATGTCCCATTTCGTATAATTTCTCTTTTGCAAAAACTTGGACATTTATCAGTCACTTCACTTTTACCTAATCCTGGTTTATGCAATTCTTGCCAACTTGCAAAAAGTAAGCGTCTTCCGTTCACGTTAAATGAGAAACGTGCATCCCATGTGCTTGATCTTGTGCATTGTGACTTGT